GACCTGAGCCGAAGGCAGTCGCTTAACCAACTGAGCCACCCAGGCGCCCCTAAAGTGGCATTTCTTAATACGTGTTTTTTTTCTGCTACCCTTCAGGAAGGTGAAATTGTTGAAGTGGATGAAGAAACAGCAGCTATCTTGAAGAATTCACGATTCACCCAGAATTTTCTGATCAGACCAGTTGGAGAGAAGCTGCCAGCATGTAGTGGCTGTTCTGCTTTAGGATCAAAGGTTTGTTTGGCTTTCAGTCCCTGCCTTGCCACTGACTGCTAAAACAAGAAACAAATCGTTATTGTTTTAGTTGGCCACTATAAATAATTTCTAGCCATATTTGTACCTACAAAATGATTTGAATTAATTTCATAACTTTATTTTTCCAATCTGGATATTAAGTCAGAGACTCTTAACTTGGTGCACCCATGAATGGACTTCAGGGCATCCATGAATCCCTTAAAATTATATATGTGTATGTGTATTTTCTCAAGAAAGTATCTATTACTTTCATCAGATTCTTAAAGGAGTCCAGATACAAAAAAGGTTAAGAGTTACCTTGGAAAAAATTACTCAAATATTCAAATAATTATTTGAATAATTTTTTTTTTTAAAGATTTTATTTATTTGCGAGAGAGAGTGAGCGAGAGAGAGAGTGAGCGAGAGAGAGAGTTAAAGAGAGGGAGAGCACAAGCTGGGGGGCGGGGGGGAGGGGCAGAGAGAGAAGCGGAGTCTCTGCTAAGCAGGGAGCCCGATGTGGGGCTTGATCCCAGGAACCTGGGATCATGACCTGAGCCGAAGGCAGATGCTTAACCGACTGAGCCACCCAGGTACCCCTCAAACATTTGTAAGTCTTAATTGAGATAGTCAAATTGCCCTACAAAAAGATTGTAGAAGTCTACATGCCTACCTGCAATGTATGAGAATACCTTTTCCCTGCTGTCTTACTAATATTGGGTATTATTTTTAAAACTCTTTGCTTGTCTGATGGGCAGAAAATAATTTGTTGTTTTATTTTGCATATATTGAACCTTTTGCCTATTTATTGGCCAGTTATATTTCATCCAATGTGAACTTCCTGTATAATTCCTTTAACCATCTGCCATTAGAGTGGGATTTGCCATTTCTTTATTGCTCTATAAACGATTATCTGTTATATGTTGTGAATATTTTTTCTCAGCATGTCATCTATCTTTTTATTTGCTTATTTTTCCTGAGTAGACATTTTCAGTTTTTATGTAGTCAATTCCTTTATGGTTTCTGCCTCTTATGTTATGATTAGAAAGACCTTCTCCATGTGAACATTATGAATTTACCTCTATTTTCTTTAAAATTTTTTTAAGATTTTATTTTTAAGTAACCTCTACACCCAAGGTGGGGCTTGAACTCACAACCCCAAGACCAGGAGTTGCATCCTGCGCTGACTGAGCCAGCCAGGGGCCCCACCTATATTTTCTTTTAGTACTTTAGACATTCTGGGATAAAATTCATATAACAAAATTCACTATTTTAACCATTTTAATGTGTACAATTTAGTGACTTTGAGTATATTTACAAGGTTGGGCAGTCATCACTAGTATCTAGTTTCAGAAAACTTTCATTACCCCAAAAGAAATCCCATACTTATTAAGCAGTCATTCTGCTATCTCCCCTCCCCCTGGCCTCTGGCAATAAACTAATCTGCTTTCTGTCTCTGAATTGGCCTATGGTGGACATTATTATATAAATGGAATCATATACTATAAGGCCTTTTGTGTCTGGATTCTTTTACTTAACATAATGTTTTCAAGGTTTATCCATGTGTCAGTACTTCATTCCTTTTTATGTCTGAATAATATTCCATTGCATGGATATACCACATTTTGTTTATCCACTCATCAGTTGATAGATGATTAGGTTCTTTCTATTCCTGGCTGTTCCGAGTAGTATTGCTGTGAACATGCATGTACGCGTACTTCATGTCCTTATTTGAGTACTGGTTTTCAATTATTTTGGGTCTATACCTAGTCGTTGGATTGTTGAGTCATATAGTAATTCTACATCCAACTTTTTGAAGACCCACCAAACTGTTTTCCACAGTGGCTGCACCATTTTAAATTCCTACCAACAATGTATAGGTTTCTAATTTCTCTACATCTTTGCCAACACTGTGTTATTTTCTGTTTAGTTTTTATTGTAGTCATCCTAGTCAGTGTAAAGTACCTCATTGTGGTTTGGATTTGCATTTCCCTAATGACTAGTGATGCTAACCATCTTCTCACATGTTTGTTGACCATCTATATGTTTTCTTTGGGGAAATGTCGTTTTAGATCCTTTGCCCATTTTTTTTTTTTTAAGAGAGGGAGAGAGAGGGAGGAGGGGCAGGGCGAGAGGGAAAGAGAGAACTTAAGCAGGCTCCATGCCCAGGACAGAGTCTGACATGGGGCTCAATTTTACAACCCAATGCGGGGCTCGATCCCAAGATCCTGGGATCATGACGTGAGCCAAAGGCAGATGCTTAACCAACTGAGCCACCCAGGTGCCCCTAAACCTTGTTTTTAAACAGAATTCAGTTTAGAGGTGCCTGGTTGGCTCAGTCGGTTAAGCATCTGCCTTCGGCTCAGGTCGTGATCCCAGGGTCCTAAGATGGAGCCCCACATTAGGCTCAATTTTACAACCCTGAGATCATGACCTGAGATGAAATCAAGAGTCGGACACTTAACTGACTGAGCTACCTAGGCTCTTTTGCCCATTTTTAAATTGGGTTGTCTTTTTATTGTTGAGTTGTAAGAGCTCTTTATATATTCTGGATACTACACCCTTATCAGATATATGATTTGCAAAACTTTCTCACATTCCGTATGTTGTCTTTTCACTCTGGGTAGTGTCCTTTGATGCACAAAAGTTTTTAATTTTGGTGAAGTTGAATTTTTCTTTTTTGGTTGCTTGTGCTTTGGGTGTCATAGCTAAAAATCCATTGCTTAATCCAAGGTCATGCAGATTCTTCTAGTGCTTTCATGGTTTTGCTTTTCACATTAAAATTTTTAAACCATCTGGAATTTATTTTAGCATAAATGTTGAGGTACAGTGTGACTATTTCTCCAAATATTAACTAGTTCAAATTTTCCTGTTCATTTATTATATCAATTCCCCACTGTTTTGAAAAGCTAATTTTGATCATATCTTAATTTCTTGAATGTATACCAGAGCCAGGATACCACTATATTCTAAAGTGATCGTTTTCTAAAATATTTTAGATTCATTTTTGGAATTATTCTAGTATCTGAAATATTGGTATAGCATTTCCTAAAGCATTTTATCACAGTTTATCTCCTGCCATCTCCACAGCTACCCTATGAAGAAGGCAGATGGGTAGAGAGTAGCATCCCTCTTTGTCTTTCTCTCATATATATACATATATATTTTTTATTTTATTTTTAAGATTTTATTTATTTATTTGACAGAGAGAGACACAGCGAGAGAAGGAATACAAGCAGGAGGAGTGGGTGAGGGAGAAGCAGGCTTCCCGCCGAGCAGGGAGCCCAATATGGGGCTCGATCCCAGGACCCTGGGATCATGACCTGAGCCGAAGGCAGACGCTTAAAGACTGAGCCACCTAGGCGCCTCTCTTTCTTATATATTTAATCCTTTCCCCCTATTCATGGTGTCAATTATTTTATTGATCCATTCATTAATTTATAATATTGTATTTAGAACAGGCTGAGTGATGGATTTCAAGTCTCTTTGGGCTGACAGAACTTACAGCATTCACCGAAGTCATACCAACGATGTGTCTCGAGGCACTGAACATTGGAAGCCCCGGGAAATAAGATACTGATATTACTGTGCCAGGATAGTGGCAGAGCGTGGGGTTTATGTACACAGGCCTTGCAGTCAGATAGGCTAGGTTCAGATCTTGGCTCTACCAGGCATGTGTGATCTCAGGTACATTACCTAACCTCCCTACACCCTCTGTCTCTCCATATGTAACAGGAAGGTAATAATCACTTTTTCTCCTCGGGTTGTGAGGATCAATGGGGATGATCTATGGAGAATGTTAGCCTGATGCCTGGCACATAATACACACTCAAGAAATAGAAGTAGTTACAGTTATGGATTTGTACTAATTAAGATTCTTGGTCACTTGGAACCGTGTTCTAGGATTTCTCATTCTTCCTGACACACCCTTTCTCCTGGGCCCAGAGAGTCTCTAATCTTTTGCCATGAATTTTTGCTTTCTTTTGCTTGTATTTCGTAATAACTTTGGATACATTGAGCATACATTGAGACACAAGTCACTCTACAAAATGGTAAATTTGTAGTTGGGAAAGTTTAATTGAACACAAGAGGCAGGAATTCCGGAGCCAAAAAACCGAATGTGTTCTTGTTTGGCCACTCTTACCAGCATGAATCAAGCGCAAGCTAAATGTAGGAGCCACCTCTAGAGCCGAAGAGTGATTTACAGGTTTTACTTTATTAAATTCTTGAGACCTCTGCTATTTGTTACTCTTCTGTTTTTCTTTTCTTTCTTTCTTTTTTTTTTTTTTT